GCCGGTACCATGGGGTTGGGGCCAGCGGCAGCAGCAGCCAGAAGGAGGTGCCGCTGCTGCCTGGGCTGTCTAGCAAGGCAGTCCAGCTGCAGAACTTCCCCAGCCCTGCTGAGTGCCCAGAGGGGGGCAGGACACACCACAGGTGGGTGGTGCCAGGACCAGGTGGGACCAAGGGACCTGCTGCGGGCTGAGCGAAGCCCCTCTGCAGGCCCTATTTTGCCCACCCCTGTACTAACTGAAGCTCAGTGAGAGAAAATTCAATGCCTGAACAGTTCCCAGGCACTAGAACTGAATCAGTAGCCGGTGCCTTGAGTTAGAATCTGGTAATTCTCCCCATAGAGATTTGAGCAACTCCTGGAAATTAAAAGGTTAATGCACAATTCTAAAAAAAACTGAATCGCAGTTTTACAAAACTACAGTGAAGTCTGGTTAACCAGTCACAGAAATAGCTTGTCTCTATGGTCTTATAAGTCACTGCACTGACCCTCTGCCAGAGTCCTGTTGATTTGTATGCAAAACTTTTTGGCTAATTCATTATCTGTTAAATCATAATTAGTCATTTCCAAGAGTACACCTGCGATAAATCACAATGGAATATGCTCTTAATAGTCTGCTTAAATGGTATTCTGCTTAGCACCTGAGCTCAACAGAAGCATTGGATACACTTCATTCTTTCTTGCTTTAATCTACTGTTCCATTTTGCAGTTATCGTCTGTTTGTGGAAGCCATGCGTGTAAAAGTGCATAGCAATGGTTTGTTTTACTGCATCACAGCTATGTGATTTTTTTACATGGCGAGTGTTCCAAATTTGTATAATAAGGAACTGTAAACTTAAACCTTTATCTCTCTAATCATACGATTTGCACATAGCAAGCCAGAGTGCATGCAGTTTGCACTTGGAATTTTTGCAATATATTTTTTCTTTATTATAAGTGTCAAAAATCATTTGTTATGTGGCATGCAAAATACAGCTCTCAAATCACTGAACATGCTTACTGCTGGCAAGCCCCTTGTGGATAATTTAATCATTACCAATCCCCTTGGTATGACGATCTAACCAGATTTTGCTGCTTTTCCAGCTATCAGCTGTTTCTTCTGTGAACAGTCCCTTTCCCCATTATAATAATAATGTCTTCTTGTGTGAACATTGACCTAGTTAATGGGACTCCACATTCCTGTTTTTATGAAATGAGACAAATGTTATATTCAAAAGTGTGCCAGGTACCTGACACTCACTTAATCCCTTCTTTTCCACTAGTGCAGACATCTGTGGCATTTTAGTTGGTGGCTTTGGAAACTCAAATCACAAGGCGGTTATCTTTCAGGACAGCCCCTAAATCACAATCTTAAGTTTTTCACCTGCCAATCACCTGGTTGTCCCACACTGTGTCATATAGATGACTATGAAATCTCCTCCATTCAGAGTGTTCCTGTGTAGTTTAAGTTCAGTTCCTGCATCATGTGGAGATAAGGGCAGTCATTTCATCCCAGGTCAGCAGATGCACAATTATATTCTATTCAGGCCCTTTAAGAATGGGGCATGTTATTTGATTATGGAACCAGCTGAATAGAAAAACACTTAAGAAGTGTTTTGTCCTCTGTTGGGGAAAATGCTTCTCTTTACTAGAAGAGAGGTCTGTTGACTTGCATCAATGGACACTCCCCTTGGAGAGTGTGGTGGGTCTCTGATGCTTTTAAATTTGCCACTTAGTGTAGCAAGGAGAATTTCTCCCTGAAAGGCTACTCGTTTCCAGGAAGATTTAGTCTCAATCTTCAGTTTGCTGCTTAGTTTCTGTTCAGATTGAAGGATTAAAGCAGCTTTCATTGTTCCCCAAAGATAACAGTTGTCTTTTGACACCATGTAATTCAGGGATGGCATAGGAACATAAGAGCTGGAAGGGGCCTTCTGGGCCATCAAGTCCAGTTCCTAGTAAGGTCTTGCAACGGTTTGGTTTTTTCCTGGTCACACTCATAAAACCAAGATAGGAGTATAAAAGCTAATGAATAAGTTCAGTCATTACAGTCTTCACGCAATTTGAAGTGCTACAAAGATGGGAAATGCCAGAGTGAATAAGGAAGTCACTGCTGTTTATACTGCAACGAGGACAGACAACCTTGGAATTGGGGCATCCTTTTGTATGAAGAATTTTACAGGGGCGCAAAGATGCCTATCCTCAAGACTTTCCAGAGTGATGGGCCTTATAGATGGTGGAAAAGAATGTAGCATGCAAATGGAGTGGTCAGTGGCTGGGGAAGAAACAAAGGTGGCAGCATTATAGTTAGATTGGAAAATTGCAAGGGAGCGCAGTAAGTTGTTGCTAGTCTAAGCTTACACCTTGAGGAAGGCACATGTTTTGGTCTGATGCAGTGTGTCCTTGCAAGTGCAGGGCATGAGGCAAGGTGTTGGAGGGTAGCTACAACTGCCAGACAGCTGATCACAGGGCTGCTAGTATGGGAGTCTTCTGGAGCCAGTACTTTTCTACAAGCCACCGTTAGACTGGTGATGCCAGAGCTCAGCAAATGGAAGGAGACCTGTCACCCAGACCTGCTGTCCCGGGTTGTCTCCCCTCTGACTTGGGTTGGGGTGGGTGGCCTAGCTCCCTCAACCAGCTGCTTAAAGCTACAGATAAGTGAAATCCTGACACCACGAAATTCAGTGCAGCCCGGATTTCACCCTTTATATGTATAGGGATGTGTGAGAGTCTGAAGTGAAATTCATTTTAAAATATGAACATGTACATAGCCCAAAGTGCTTCTCTGAAATACTGTTTCTGTTTCAGGTTCTAGTGCAGGCTATCAAAGAAGCCAAAGAACAGCATCCAGACATGTCTGTGACCAAAGTGGTCGTTCACCAGGAAACTGAGATCGCTGAAGAATAGCCAGGTCAGGTAAGCGGATGGAGGTCAGAAGTGACCCATGTGCCAGGACCACCTTCAGAAAGAAGCACCCACGCTTTACTTCAAACTTGGTTTATATTTTAAATTGTCTCCAGTGTGGCTCCAGAGCTTTGCTGCAAAGATGCGGGGGGGAACAACCATTAATGAAATAGTGTGAATTAAAAAGGATTGTTTTTACAGCAGGCAGACTGCCAGTGTTGGTTATCTAGATTTCATAGACGTTAGGGCTGCAAGGGAACTCGCAAGATCATCAGGTCCAGCCCCCTGCCCAAGGGCAGGCAATCAGTAGGGGTCAAATGATCCCAGCAATGTAGGCATCTGTGCAGAAGGGCTCTGATTCAGTGGAAACATACTGAACTACCAGTAGTTTTGAGGGACTGGCTGAGGGTACCAATTTCAAAAAGACAAAAAGTAGCTGAGAGTAGGAAGGGCTGGTATACATATTGCAGCAATCTGAGGGCAAGAAATACTTGCTTCAGATGAAGAGGTGGGTTAATTTGGATAGACTGGATGCAGTTACCCAGATTGGAATTTAGCTAAATCTGTGTCTACAATTAGGGTGACAGTTAGCAACTGATCACAAGGGAAATTCCCTTGGGCTTTAGCCGGTCTTTCTGGTCATGCCAGATAACTCCTGCTGTACTGGCACTATAACACAGCGGGGTTGATTTTACTGGGTGTGAATGGGGGTTAGATTAACAAGCACACAAAGGTATCTAGGCACGATCTATAACCAGATAAACACTCTTCTCCTGTTTCAGCTCTGTTCAAAACAAAGTGCCCAGATCAGTTTGAGAGCTGGAGAGGGAATGAATGGGGATTCACTGTTTGACAAGAGGAAGTGCCAAAGTTGTCAGGAAGATAAGACCCGTGTATGTTTTCAAACCTCCAGGCCTGAACTCAGAGTCCTAAAGCCACACTGAGCTGCTTAAATAAAAGTGGCCTACTTTGTCAAAGAGATTGAGCACTCACAGCTCTCATCATACTAAGGATTTGTGGAGATTCAGAAAAAATAATTAGGCCAGTCATTTGGGACGCTTACTTTCATGCATGCAGGTGAAAATTCAGATCTGTGCTTTTAATCCTCTGAGAAATGGAAGCACCCTGTACTGCTTCTCGCGTGGTGTCTTCAGAGACCTGGGCAGTTGTACTGGATGTGTAACCTTCCATAAATGTCTCTCTTTCCAGGAAGTTTCTCCCTGACTGAAAGAACGCGAGAAAGACGAAAACCAGCAAAACAACAAGGAAACTACCTGGAGCACAAAGAACTCGGATTTACAATCTTTACTCTCAGAAACTGAACCTTCATATTGCTTATTATTAGGAGTTGTGCTTTGACATTTACTTGGAATTTTCCAGAGTACAATGGATCCTTTTGAATATAGTTTTTTATATTGTGACAGACAGTATGCCATACTTCTCACTGTACTGAATGTTTTTTTTTTTACAGGTGTTCAATTTTGCATTCCCCCCCACCCCCCAGCCTCTTCCAGATCCATTTTTACAGCAGAGGTCCCAGCAAAACCCATGGGGCTCTCAAAGGATTGGCATTTAAGTCCTTTTTTTGTCCAGCCTCATCAGGTAAAATGAAGGCAGTCTCACACCCAGGCGAGGCGTGGAATTTTTATGTAATCAAAGATGGAAAGAAACCTGGCAATGAGTTCTTCTGCCAGAAGAGTCAGTTTAATAAGGCAGTGGCATTTCTGACTGCCTCCTACAGTTGGCCATAGGTATTTCCAGAGACTCCAACCCACAATGTCCAGGTGCACAGAACAGAGTTTCTGCCTTACTCTGAATTTTCTAGCTTTTGTGGGTTTCAGACCCTTAACGTTGTTTGAACATGGTAGGGTTTTTGTGATGTACATTACACACACACATTTTAATAGCTGTCTAGATTAAGGAATACTGGAAGTTCCTTCGAGTGTCTCTTATACTGTGAATTTTAGAGCTTTTCAAGAGAACTGTGACAGGACACCTCCCCCTTCTGCTCCTCCGAGGACTGCATCTGCTGAATGCTACCTACTGATTTTGTTTTTGCTCTTTAGATGCCATTAAATTAATAAGCCTATAGAAGTGTGTGCTTATGGGGTGTGGGCTCTGAATGCTATGAAATAGGCTATACAGCTTTCACAGTGATAGGTTTCTGAGTGTCATCCATTTCTCCCCCC